ATATAATATTTTTGAAACATAAAGAACAGCAGTTCTGAGTTCTTCATAGAAATATTTCACAAAATGTCTTTTACAATAATAATATGATCATATCAACATGCAACATGTTTACTCATATAAGTTAAATCTAAAGCAACATGTGTCTATTTTAGCCAAAATTACTAAAAAGAAAGTTCTAGAAAATATCTTAATAATTGACACTAAAACATGCAAATAAAGCATTTCCCCCCCCCTCAGCTATTTTACAGACCAAATATAAATTCCAGATGCCATTTCATTATTTTATATAAAGGATATAATAGTAATTTATGTAAAAATAGCATATCAATTTGAACTTAATTATCAAATTAAGCTCAAATCGATTATTAATCAAATGATATATATACATGCAGATATCATTGTTTTACTCAAAAACACATTGATTTCAATGTATTTTATATAATAAGCATCATTTTAAACAACAATTCTATTACTTTTTATAGACATATCCTTTAGTATTTCATCTATGAAAAATATATTCTACACACATATAATTACTTAATGAGATATTAGAAGGAAATAATCTGAAACCTTTACAGATACAACCATTGGAATTTTACGTAAGAAAGTATCTTCTACTTACATATAACTTGCTGAAATAATACAAGCAAATTACCTGTAACGGTTAGAGATATATCTGTTGAGATTTTACATGAGAAAAATATGTTCTTTTTACATAATTATTTGCTGTAATATTACACACAAATAATCTGTAACCATTACAGATATATCGTTTGGGAATTTACATGAGAAAAATATGTTCTACTTACATAACTATATGCTGTGATATTAAAAAAAAAAAAAAAAGATCTGTAACCATTACAGGCAAAACTCTTGTAATGTTACAAAGAAAACACCTGTTTCTGTTACTCAAAAAACCCATGGCATCCCAGTTTCCATGAGTTTTCTTAGTAACCTTACAATTTTTTTTTTTTTTTACAGTGTGGACAATAGCACATATCATGGTTTCTTTGAATTGTGAACGATTCAACAGTGCTTCTTCAACGTCCTTATGCTTGGCCTTTTTAATTCTGTGCGTAGAAATAATCAGTTATTAATTTTTTTACACATAGATTTGAGTAAACAGCATTTCCGATATATACAGGTTTGACTGGTAAACAGCATTTCCGATAGCTACAGATTTGACTACATCCATTCTGTATTTTTAAAATGATACTGATCTAATAATTAATATAAAATATTCTATGTTTACCATCCGGCATTCGGATGAATTTTTTTTAACTAAAAACTTCCCAAGGAAAGTATGAATAGAGTTGGGTTCACTTATCTGTCCTATACAGTGTGTAATGAGATACATTCATTTCTTCCAAAATAGATGTGGTTGTAAAGCAAAGGTTCAGTGGCCTTGCTAAAGAATACCTAAATCTTGAAAAAGATCTGAAGAATGTAAAGCCCCTCTCTATTCAGAAGATAGAACTTGGATGAGGATTCCAATAGTATTAAATACTGAAACAAAACGAACCAATAAGGATAAAAAAAATTCATTCGTTAAAAGACAAATCATCTGTACAGCTTTAAGTTCATAAGAACTATTTCTTTTCTTGAATAGCAAAAATTTCAAATTTCCGTCATAGTATCAGTCTTGAACGGAGCTTAGTCAAAAATCTTGAATGGAATCAAAGAACCCATTCACGCTCTTTGTCTCAGTGGTCACAGAAACCATATGATGCTCTCAGATAGGCATTTTATGCATCCTGGTTCTTTAAGAACTAGGAGCTACACCTGCCTTGCATAGCCATTTTTGCATCTATTTTACAATCCGTTTTTGAAGACGTATTACGTGTGTATGTTTGTTCATAAGCATACATCTCTCATTAATTCAAAAACAGTTCACCGTAGAATGTTGAAATTTCGTATATGGTACTGCTATAACATCTAGTTGTGTACTTCTCTTTTACTTCCTTGTACGAAGTAAAAAGGAAGTATTGTAATCGCGAAAATTTTCAGGCAGCATATTTCAACGAAAATATCCATTTTGACCGCTATCGAATGCAATTTAACGATGTCTTTGCGTGATACCTGTACGTAAGGACAGAATAAAATACTCTTTTCTTTCAAAAAAATTACAAAACTGCTTTAAAATTAATTCTGAAGAGAATTTTTCGTGGCGTCTGTACGAACGTATGTACATACGTATCTCGCATAACTCAAAACGAGTAGTAGCCTCAGAACGTTGAAATTTGTGTATAGGACTGATATAACATGTAGATGTGCACCTCGTTTGGTTGCAGTCGGCTGCACCAAACGTATATAAATATATTTATATATATATCCAATGTTACCCTGCTCAGTGATCTCAGTTTCTTTACTCTTATATGTTGGTAAATTGTACATTTTTTGCTTTAAAAATGATTGTTTTTTTTATCTTCCGGTTAAGGATTTTATGCCTTTAGTAAATCTGTGTGCAATATTTTTAGAATTATCAGCAATTTTAAAGTTGTTTAATTGCAGCTAAGCCTTTTTTAATGGCGGCCGTTGATGTTTACATTTGAAGCAAGAGACTAGTGGATTTGTTGCCAATCTAGAGAAACTTAGCTTCGCAACAACAAAGATAACGCATTCATTTATTATTGCCAATTAAATCATGCCTAATTCTTTCTGGAATTTTTTCCGAGGAAATAAGCGTTTGAGATTTACTTCGTAATTTTTAATATAGATATTTTGAGTTTTTATGTATTTTTGCCTTCTCACGAAGTGAGAACTGAATTAATTAAATGAGAAATACTCAATCGTCTGTGAAAAAATGTTCATTTTGTTTTGTTTGCTTAATTTCTTTATACATCATTCTAGCTTTATTATAGTATTTGAATAGAACATGTAGCACGATTAGATAATTCTATTCTTTAAATGATATAAATTTTGTGCATTATGAGTTATAATATGAACGAAATATATAAGTTAATTATATAATTATTGGATTATATAACAGTTAACTTAGTTTCTGTTATAAAATTATCATATAAGTTAACTGTTATAATTATTAATACTATTAAGTGAATCTAGCGCCAGAGTGTCGCTATCGTAAACAAGTACTAGAGTTAATTTTAAAGAATGCATTATTCTATTGTGGTTTATGCGCTGTCGGCGAAGTGATTTAATTCATCAATAAGTTTAAATGAAATGCAAGAAAAAATGCGTATAATTTAATATTCCAATACAAGGAAGTCATGTGGTGTACACATCAGATTTTTTTATTTCTATTTGGCGGTACCAAAAGTATATATTTACACCCATCCACGCCTTTATTTCTGCAATCATTGGCCGTAGTCATATGGTTCCAATCTCAGAAAGGAATTTAAACTATAAAAATATTTGTGTTATGCCAATGTCTTTTTTAAAAAATTAATTTCGGACAAATAACGAAATCTAACTTTTAATGTGGTCTCCCACTTTCTGTACATATGTTTGGGAAAATTTTTTACTTGTCATAAAAAAGTAAAATTATAAGATGTTTTTACTCCTGTGCAACAAAACGTGACTGGGATATTTAATTTCAAAGTTTGCAGTTTCCTTTGAGGATGTGTCAATGTCATTTTCAATTTCCCTGCAGGTTATCGATTAGTTAAGTTAGAATAATTTGAGGAAATAAGTGTAAATGAAGTGCAGCAAAAATTGTGTATAATTTAATAGGCGTACAAAGAAGTTATGCGGTGCTGACATCAGATTTCTGCCTTTAAGAGTGTGAGGTCACTTGCTTTTATTGTAAAAATGGCATGTATATTTCTAAAGAATAAAGTAGTTAAAAAATACAGAAAGTTTACTTTTAAAAATACTAGCGGTAATATTTTTTTCATCCATTGTTACTTTCTTTTATTGTTTGTTATTTCATTTTCTTCCCCCCTTTCCCTTTCTATTTCTCCTCCCATTCCAATGAAATAAGAATTTTCTGTACTTTTTTTTTTTTTTTTTTTACCACTGTAGAACTGTGAAATACTGCCTAGTAAAGTTAATCTACCAATGTAAAGTTAAAGATTGCATAATAACATTGTGAAGGTTTATGTCATTAAAGTTTCTGCATTAACAAATTAAACACTTGGAAATAATGCCAACACTTAAAAATAGGTAGTAAAATTAATTTGTTAAGATCTGAAAGTTTATAAACAGAAATCAGCTCTTCTTGATGTGATGTGAAGAAAAAGTGTAGAATGAATGCCAGCCTTTGCTAAATTTATATATTTTGTTCAATAGATATTTTTATCTACTTGAAATTTGTTTTAAGAATTTTCAGCAAATAAGTCCGAAAGGAATATGGAATTCTAGGATTTTAGGCACTTTAAATTTTTATTCTTGATAGAACTGGGATATCTACTAGGCATAGAACTTCTGGTGTCTTCCTCATGTAGACTCGTATTTTTGAATGAGATGAGTTTGCCTATTTATTGCATTGATTTCTTTTTCTTTCTGTTCTTTTAAAGGTTTATTGCTTTATATAGTAATTATGTTAAGTAGGCTCGAATAAATTATATAATATTTCTTCATAGTAGCTATACAATGCTGGAATTAAAATGGGAGTGATTTTCAGTAATTTAGTAAAATCACATTTCTAATTATTAGCCAGTGCTTAATCAATCAGTTTCTTGCAATGAAACAAGAAAATGATTGGTTAATAATTAAAATTTAAATTTTCTGTCATGATCGAGATAAATATCAATGGTTCTATTCTACTCAGGAAAGGCTTTCTCTCTATCTCTCTCTTTTTTTAAGGTTTCCTATCATGTGTAATATAAATATTAACATACTCTTATAAGTTATGCAGAAATTACTTTGTAGTTTAAAAAAAATCTTCAAAAAAACATGCATCTGAAGGGTGAACTTGACATAAATAATAAAGTTAAAAAATCCTATTGACTTTATTATTTACATCAAAGTTTACGTAAAAAATTATGTTTTTCGTGTAGAAATTTATGTTTTATATATGTATATTGTAATATAAATAGAAAATTATAACACATCCTATAATTTTTTTAGACTATGGATATTATACAAAATAAGGAGCTAGTTTATCTCTATCAGCTTGTGGATGGCATTGCCACATGCAGCTTTGCTTCTCAAACGGCTTTGCAAGCAGGCTTACCAGAAAATGTAATTAAAAGAAGCTTAAAGGTAAACTGTCATGTTTCCTAGCTTTGAAGAAAATTTCACACTGAAATAAATTTTATAAAGCATATGATTGTATCCAGACCTTCATAAATGTGTTTACCTGAATTCTGATATTGACGAACTTTTGCGTCTGGATAATGAAAAATCACCATTTGCTACTTTTTGGATTTCAGAATCTCCTTCAATTCAATGCATTTTTTCTTGCACTCCCAAACTTGTTTTTAGTTAGGAGAAATGCCATTCAGCCGTACTTTTATTAGAATTTTCAGCACACATGATCATTTATAGTTTGAAATTTGCTGTAAAAAACTTTTTGGCTTATTTTTTGTTTAAAGGATGAGCGAGAAAAATTTCTGCTCTCTTTCAAACAAAAAATAAGACCGGAACCACAGATTGTATACAAGGCAGTAAATGTAAATGAATGGGGAAGATGTACTAGCTTCACACAGGATTATAAGAGTTAAAAACTGTCGTCACTGGCATTTGGCATTTTACATTATAGGGATTTGATTGCATAAAATGCATTCTTTGCTTATACAAGAATCAGCTTATACAGTCAAAAGTCGTTAATCCGGACTCGTCGGGACTTCGGCGATTCCGGATTTTAGATCATCGGTTTAAATCTGGTAAGATGGCATGCAGAAATTACAAAATTGAAAATATGAAACCGTAATTTATGAAATAAAAAACAATTATGATCTAAAGGGTATCAAAATTTACAAAAAGAAAAAGCTTAATATTTATTTGTTTACTTTATTGAACATTTCTTTCAATGTAAGTGAAGTTGCTTCGTTTCATGTGATAATACTTTCTCTTTAATTCTATTAAACAGACATAATTTCTTGTTTAGTTACAAAGTTCCTCTGTTCAAGTCCTATAATTGCTGTGTTGAGAATACCGACTAATTTGTCAATCGAAATTTTTTCGTTTTCAATAACCTCTGTCACTTTCTTCACTATCGGAAGCGAATTATAATGACGAGGAACTTGTTTTAAATCATATCAAAGACGGAGTACATCGAGATGAAATACTACACTTAGTAAGGAATTATAAGCCAAATAAAATAAAAACATCTGCCCTGAAGGAAAAGATAGTGCTGACAGATGAACTTCCAATTAATTGTGCGCAGCGGTGTTCCCCCCGCCGAGCAGCGTGAAATTAATAAACAGATTTCGGATTTCGAAACATACTTTCGCTTCAGATGCTTTACATATTAACAAATATATATATATCGAAAATTCTATTTGATATAATCAAAAGTTCAAGCTTACTTTTGTAAATGTTTTATGAGCATGCGCACAAGCATATTCGCAGCTGTAAAGGTCTTACGCACGCACGTAAACGCCTATGTGCATGCGTCAACGCGGCGCATGCGCAGAAAGTTTGTAGCTTTGAGGTCCGGATTATAGATCATTCCGGATTATGGGTGTCCGAATTAACGACTTTTGACTGTATTTGAAAATATGTGTTTTAACGAAAGTTTCCCGCCACCGCAAATATCGTCTGAGGAAACAGTTCACGTTGGGTTGTTTAATCATTTTTTGCCATTTGAAAGATACTTGTTTTAGAACGCTGTGTTGTGGAATTAGTAAAAAAATATTGTTGTACGAAGTGTACAAGGAGTCTGAAATGGAACTATCACGCTACCAGATTACAACCATCATTTACTTCCATTCTGTGTGCAAAAATTAAACTTCAGAATGTCACCAAATCAAGTGTACAGCTTTAGGTATAATGTTGTATCATATGACACCGTGAATGTTTGGTACCGAAAGTTCAGAAACAAGGACTATAACATGCAAAACGCGGAGCTGTCTTGCCAGCCTACTGATGTTGATGAGGCTCGCCTACAAGAACTTTTGAAGGAAAATCAGTGTGCTAAGGAGTTAGACATCAGTGTCATGTCCATTAGTCTCGACATGCATCGCATAAACTTGACGTACAAGTTCTATCGCTGGGTGCCGCATAACTGACTCAAGCTGATAAGGACAGACGTGTTCGGGCCTGCACTATTCTGCTCGAATATCAATGCAAGGACAAAATTCTGTATCTGATAGTCACTTGTGATGAAAAATGGATTTACTCCAACAACACAGGCTGAGATGGGGGTGGTCTGTGCCCGGTGAGTATGTCGACAACATCGCAAAGTGCAATTTGATTAACAAAAAGATCATGCTTTGTGGGATTGCTGTATTATCCACAAAGATTATCTGGAAAAATATAAAGCCTTTGACAGTAAGGTGTACATCGAGATGCTAGTCCATGTTGATGCTGCTATCAAGAAAAAACGTTGAACTGAGTTACAGCGCAAAAAAGTAATGATCCATCAAAATAATGTAAGACCACATGTATCTGCATTCACCAACTGGCCTCTGTACGAACTCGAATGGGATTCTTTTACCATACCTACCACATAGTTCCGGCATCGCTTCTTCAGACTTCTACCTTTTTTTTTGCAACCGCAGCTACATCTTGCTGGCGTTGTCTTTTGCACAGGTTGATCTGTTTTTGGACTCGCTACCACCAAGTTTCTGTGCCGAAAGCTTTGAAAAACTATTAAAACGTTGGCAGAAAATCATACATTTGGGTGGCGATTACTACCTGTACTAAAGGTACTGCTTTCATGTTTTTCCCCTAACTTTATTGAGAAAGTTTTTGGCAAAAAGCTTTTTGTTTGGGTCTCGTCCCAAATAACACACACTAAATAAATTCGCTGGTTCGATTCTTTATTAATTCTCATAATTAATTACAATCACTCATAGCTGTGACCAGCCCTCTTACACCATCGATGGCGATTCTCAAACTCGTTTTATCATCACATTACAGATGCGCATGCGTGGATTACATTACAGATGCGCAGGCGCGAACATACCGCCCCGCGTTGCAATGCTTAGCATTCAACTATTGTAATTAAGATATAGCATAAAAAATTAAACACGCATAAACAAACATAAACAATTTTGAATAAGTACTATTACATAAAATCATTATTATAATTAGACATTTACCATATACATCAGCGTCCAACTCAAAGCAATACAATATAACATTTCAGTTACATAATGACATTTTATGTGAAACACATTCAATACTGTACAATAACTATAAAGACAATACTCATTTTTGTATTGGTAAGACACATAATTTGGTAATTGGTCGTTTGAAAGTTCCAGTTTGAGTTTTTACATTACACACGCAAACCTTTCCATCTTTACCATAAAATACTTCTATTATACGACCAACCGCCCAATTACAACAAGGCAAATTATCTTTAATTAAGACCATGTCTCCAACTTGTATATTGTTTTTAGAACTTTGTCATTTAGATCGATTTTGTAAATGACTTAAATAATTGGAGTTCCATTTTTTCCAGATAATTTGTACTAATCTTGTGATCTGTTGCCACAATTTTTTACAATTTTTCTACAAACATTTCTACCACTTACAATCCAAAATTTTTGTCTTATATGATATAACAAAGATTGAGGACCCACATGCAAATATTTTAAATGATAGTAATTAACTATTAACTCTGTTAATTTATGTTTAGAAGGCAGAATAATAGGAAATTTTTTCTCATAAGTTAAATTGCTATTTTTTAATCTACCTCCAACTCTCAACAGTCCATTACTGTCAATGAAAGGGTTAAGACCTTTAATAGAACTATTTCTTGGAACAATACCTGATTTTTTAAGATCATTTATCTCATTCATAAAATACTCACCCTGTGCTAATTTTATTAAAGTTTCTTCAGCTGCTCTCAATTCTCCCACTTGTAAATTACCTACCTGCTTTTGTTCTTGCTTACAATTCTTGTAAAACCTAAAACAATAACTTATAATACGAATTAATTTTAAATACTTATTACTGCAATTCAATAAATCATTAACAAAATTATTCACATTCAGATTTAAACATGTAGATAGTTCAGAATCAGCAAAGTTTTTAAGTTCATTACTGTCCTTTTCAGTAATTGCTTCAGGTATAACTCTTATAGGGTACTCATCCTTCATTAAGAAGTCAGGCCCGTTCCACCACAGTTGACTTAGTTGCAGTTTTTTTTTTGGCAGACATACCTCTAGATATGAGATCTGATGGGTTTTCTTCACAGAAGCGATATGATGATGACACTGTGCTACTTCAGTCAGATCCTGTATCTTTGAAAAATCCGGTTTGCGACAAATGTCTTGAGCAGATGTGTGGCTTTGTTGATCCATGACAGCACAATCGTAGAATCGGTCCAAAGGTGGATAGCAGTAAGCTCCAATTTTAATGATGATTTCACTCGATGCATCAGTTTAGCTAATAGCACTGCTGCGCAAAGCTCAAGTCTTGGGATTGTAGTCTTCTTTAGGGGGGGAGACACGCGATTTACTGCACACCCCAACCTCACTGATGTATGGTTTGTTGCTGATGTTGCTTTACAGTAGATAACTGCTCCATAGGCGGACCTCTGAGGCATCACAGAAACCATGTAATTCAATCTTGATTCTATCTGGTAATAAAATACATCTATGGACTTCAATGTTGTTAATTAGCTGCAAGGTAGTGGAGAATTCTTTCCATTCTTTAGCTTCCTTTTCTGGCAAAACATCATTCCAGCTCAATTTTAACAGCCATAATTTCTGCATAAATATTTTTGCTACAATTATAACTGGAGAAATTATACCCAATGGGTCAAAGATGCGAGATATGACGAATAACACTTGCCGTTTCGTAACCTTTACGTTGTCTTCGATTTTAACGTTGAAGCTCAAACAATCTCCTTTTGACTAATGCTTATACCTAATGCTTTAGATTCTTCTGATTTACCAAAGGGATATGTTTTGTCGTTTGTTTGACACAGTTCAGTAGCATTACTACACCACTTATGGAGTAACATGCCTCCACTCTTCAAAATGCCTATTAATTGATTTTGAAGTTCTAACGCAGAACTTATATATACGTTAGATATGACCATATGTTAGATAGAATATCGTCCATGTACATGTCTTCTCTCAGTA